GTTTTAAGTTATACACATTTTATAGCTGTTCACACTATATGAGTGTCTTCTAGATTTTCTTTTTAGTAGGTCATTGAATCTTTTTTACTTTATGGAGCAGTAAGAAATGCATGAAGGAATTTGAATTTAGAGAAGCTGTCTTGCATGCATATCTTGGCATTGGCATTTAAAGTCTATAAAATAAATTGGCAGTGAATGTTTTATTTACCTGTTAGAATAGCAGCTAGCACGTCAAGCAGCATTTTTGCCAGATATATTGGAATACACTTGATAGCACAGAAATGGAAGTGTAAAGCATTTAATCAAAGATATTTGTGGGCATATCACATGAAGATTTTAATGTCTGATACATAGGACAACCTGCATGTATAATTTAGAAGCAAAAATGATTTGAAAAATAAATCTGGTCCACTCTCATGCCTCATTTTTTTTTTAATGAGCAAAACAATGCAGTGTTTACTAAGTTATTTTAGGTGCAGAATTGTTTTACTACTTTGCCTGAATTGCCAAGCTTTTTAATAAAGCTGGTAGCATGAGTGACAGCCGCATACCCAAGGTTACACTGTAGCGTCGGGTTCTCTCTGACTTTCTCTCCTTTAAGCCTCCCTTTCATGTGTAGCCAAGTGAAAGTCTCCAAGTGAAATGTAAGCTCTGCAGATCCTCAGGGGCCGTGGCCTGATGAGAGGGTCCAGAAGAAAAGCAGCAGTTTGGAAAGGCTGTTGAAGGCACGGAGGGCAGAGGGCCGGGTGTTGACACGGCTCAGACCTTTCTAAGGAGATGAATGAGAAGGCATTGCCTCCCTGGGCCCCGGACATATTTTACCCGGAAGAGCAGTACTAGGTTTTCAAACCAATTGTTTTGGCTTTATCCTTCAGATGTTGCAGAAGGAAAATGTGTTCTTTTATTGCTGTTCCAAGTTGTTTAACCGTTTACCCTTAATCATCTGCAGTCTGTGTGGGAATAAGACTTCTAAAGATCACTGAACTTTGCTTGATTTGAAATCAGAATAGAATTCGTTTTATTTAATGTGGGAAACCTTCTTTTGAGAAATTTGACACAAGCTGGCTTTTTCGTCTCTTAGAATTTAATTGAAAAAGAACACCATAGAAAAACACTGCCAGATGCACACATGCCTGCTCTTGGGTTAGATTGCCATAAGCTTTAGAATTTTGTTTCTATGGTTATTGATCGTTGAAATAACCCTAGCAGTCAACATTTAACAAGTCAGTGTGAATTAGTGAATTTTTGGTTGCATCACAGAGATGAAATTCTAGGCCGGTCGTATCGTGTGTCTCTGTTCTCATCATAAGTTTTCTCCTTGTCACTCAATCTGTTAAGAATACATGATGATTGTAGGAGCACTTCATAGATCTGCTTTGTGGAAAAGTTCATAAGTCCATTAGGCCACCGTTCTGTGGAAGTGATCTATAAAGAAATAAATTCCCTCAGTTCCCACATCAGCATATCACAAAAGAACCATACTGTGGGCCGCCTGGAATTTTATAGATCTCTTCAAGGAGCAATTCAGAATGGTTTCTAAGAGCCCTAAATCTGTATCTTGGTGCATGAATCTAGCTGGCATTAATTTGGGCAGAGTGGGCCAAATAGAGCTAATTGAGGTGGGGAAAAAAAAATCGAGAGAACAGGCCATAATGGTGAATAGAGTTATTTGTCACCGAGTTTGTAATAGGATTTTCAATTAATTCATGCAGGCTTCCAATGCCTTACATTAGCCCTGTCAAGATGAACTACAGCCACATCTAAAATGCCATCCCCTATTAAACGGTGCATGTCAGTGAATTTGTAATTTCTTCTGTTCAACCAGAAGATGAATGGATTCTACTCAGAAAACAAATGTGTGCTTCAGAAATGCACTTTTCAAAATCCCGAACACTTCCTAGGAGGAACATTCTTTGCATTGTTATACAGTGAGTATATGTTAAAAATGTGATGGTTATGTGAATCCATCCAAAAGGAAAAGCATCCAGCTGCAGAGAGACAAATATACTGTCAGGTGCCCCATTTCACTGGTGACCAGGCTTTTCCCACTGGGTGATAATGATGATGATGGTGATGATGAGGACCATAGTTCATGCTGGTAGCCTTCACTGCCTTCTGGGCCATTTGAGGGGGTTATATACATGAATTCACTAAATCCTTACAACAACCAGGTGAAGCAATTGAGGAAAAGAGAGGTTAAGCTGCCCAAGATCCCACAGTCACTGAGATGGTGTTCAAGCAGTGGAGTCCGTGCTCCCGACTAATTAGTTCCCTCTACCACGTGGTCATAGTCTCTTTGGCTACAGACAAGAGTTAACGTAGCTCTCTCATTCTTTGGTCAGTTCTCTCTTTCTTCCCCCTTATGGTACTTACTGTGGTGTTATTTTGTTGTTATCTCCTTAAACCTATCTTGGGAAATACTGATAAGCTGTGGTAACCAGGCTTCAAGAAGTATGTAATAGAGAATGGAATGAAGCATATGTGAGATTAGACAAAAATTAAAATTCTCCCTTCCACAAATGCCAAGTGAAATAATGAGCAAAGTTCGTAGCACTGTGAGGGACCAGCTCCTGAATGGCACCTCCTTGCTGGAGGGACCAAAGGGCACAGCAGAACTGCTTACAAGATTATGTCAAGGCTGAATGACAGGAGTCATGTCATTAGAGACCAGGTCTTAAAGCAGGGTCCACAAGTCAAGAGGGCATCAGTTACTTCTGAAAGGCTCAGATCTTGTTTTCCTGGGACATTGGCCCCTCAGAACAGCTCTAACTAACCAACCACAGCATTACGTGGACCAAGCCAAGGCAAAACGACTCCCAGGAGCGTTTTGAGAGCAGGAATTACTATTCCTCGGAAGCCATCCAAAAAATATTTAGCAAAAAAGTTTGGCTTATGGGTAGTCCAGTCTCTAAATCTCTGAGTGAGAACCAAACAGTAACTGAAAACTATACTGTGAAGCTCTGTCAACATCAAGGATGTTAAACCTTTATCTATGTTTGTTGAAGGAAGGGGGGGGTATGAAGAAGCAATATGAGTAATACCTTATTGATGTCCTTTCTTGAAAACATTAAACTATTTTAAAAAATCAACTGTTTTAGGCTTGTGCATTGCACATAGCTACATAGCTGTCTGCCCACCTGCCCACTTCACATTTTCTATTCTACTGCCTGGCTTACCGGTCTGCACAGGGTCACACCATGTCCATCTGTGTGCTTCAGACCCATGGGTGACTACATTGTTGGAAGGACACACAGATCAAAAGTCCTTAGCCTGTTATTCCAGACCCTCCATCCATTGGCCTCTGTCTACCTCTCACATTGCTTATGCTCCTTGACTCCCACACAAGAACACTGCGTTCTTTACAAACCCTAGTCCTTCTGCACATCATCTGATTCTCACTTCCCCGTCTTTGCTGGAGCTATCTCCTCTGCCTGGAATGTTCTCACTTTTCTTTTTATTCTTCCACTCCAACTTTCTCTTTTTTAGCTCCTATTATTCTTTAAGAGTAGGGAAGTGTTTAATTTTCCCAGGGGCTGGGGTCGTGGCTCAGTGGTAAAGCATTTGCCTTGCACATGTGAGGCCCTTGGTTCGATCCTCAGCACCACATTAAAATAAATAGATAAATAAAATAAAGGCTTAAAAATAAATAAATGAATAAAGTAATTTTTTTTCATCCCTCAAACCTCAGTGTTTCTGCTCCCACAAACAGTTGCATATCTTTACATTGCATTTAATAAACTGTGTTGTCATTATTTCTAAGGAAAAGAACTGTGCTTTATTTCTCATTAAATCCTCAACACTAATACAGTGCCTGGTAAGAGGTAAAAAGCTTGATAAGATGTTAAATTTAGTGTTTTCTAGATGAGTGAATAAATGATTGAGGACGTGAGAAACAGGAACCTGTAATCTAGCTCATTGAATTATTATAGTCATGTTTGATTTTCCATTTATTCTCTGAATCAATGATTGGCAGCAGTGTTCCAGAGAGGCCAGAGATCTTAAAATGACAACTAATGCTCAAGAATGGGCCCCGATAATGCCATCGGGAAGTATTGTATTGAACTCATTTAATTCAATTGCCTTGGGGGTACACACCATTCAAAACCTGTCATTCAAAACCATAATTCAGTGCAGCAACATTTAAACCCCCCTGTCTTATCTTATCAGCCTAACAGTGTTCTCTAATGAGGAGAGAGCAAAGTTGACTAATCTTAAGGTACACCAGACCGTGTGCCTGAACATGTACCGATTATAAACTATGAGAGGACAGGAACTGTGTCCTACTCACAGTTGCATTCCAGACTCAGGCGGAGACTAAGCCCTAAATAAATACCTATTGAATTCACAAAAGAATAAAATCTCCTGCCCACATTAAAAGCAGCATCAGGAAAAGTTTTGCCCACAGCCCTATCTCTGATTTTTATCAGTCAAGCTTAAGAACAGTTAGTGAATTGATGAATTATACTTCTGATTAAATTTTCTTCTCAGTGCTTATAATTTATTCTGATGATTAAAATACTTAATATGGACCTTTTATGAGTTTTTGAATTTCATGTCAGAGAATTATACTCAGAAGTCACATTTTCATGTAATAATGATCCCAAACAAACAAGGAAAGGCCCCCACTGAATTAAACTTGGGAATAGAAGGCTACATTGTAACTGGTACATGGATATCTTCTTATCTTATTTGTATTTGCTCTTTATTGATGGGACACATAGTTTTTTTTTTGTTGTTGTTGTTTGTTTGTTTTTAACATAAGATGTTCTTTTCAAAGGGCAAAGTGTGGATTTGACCTTGATTTAAAAATAGTGACAGTAAGGCGATATATACACATTTTTTTCTGTTTTTTTTTTTTTTGGTGGTGCTGGGGATTGAACCCAGGGCCTTGTGTCTGCGAGGCAAGCGCTCTACCAACTGAGCCATATCCCCAGCCCAGTAAAGTTCTATTTTGATGAACATTTCTGGAGTGTTCATTGATATTTGTCTTTTTCTTTAAGGGTATACCTCAGTTACCATGTGCCAAAGCATTATATAACTACGAAGGAAAGGAGCCTGGAGACCTTAAATTCAGCAAAGGTGACATCATCATTTTGCGACGACAAGTTGATGAAAACTGGTACCATGGGGAAGTCAACGGAATCCATGGCTTTTTCCCCACCAACTTTGTGCAGATTATTAAACCATTACCTCAGCCCCCACCTCAGTGCAAAGCACTTTATGACTTTGAAGTGAAAGACAAGGAAGCGGACAAAGATTGCCTTCCATTCGCAAAGGTAAAGTTGGGATGAATTGACCAGATATTCTTCTGTGTGTGGAACGTGGCTGGTGTTTTCTCTTGGAAAAAGAGTTTTGTGTGAGCTATCTCACTGTGCTTCTAAAAATACCTAGAAGTAGTCTGCTTTAAGTCACAAGAAACGTAATTTTGCACATAAACTTCTTCTATGAAAGATAATTAGGTTGATGTTCTACATGGAATGTTTTTCATATTTAGAACCTAAATTTATTTTAAGCCACTTTAAAGTATGTATGTGCCACTCAGGGATTTTACAATACTGAATCATGAATAATAGATGAGATGACATTATTTCCTTATTTTATATGTAAGTTTATTTGCATAATAGCACCTGCAATATTTACTGAATTGATAAAATGGTTTGGAATTTTAAGCAAAATATTATGGCTTTGTTTAAAAAAAAAAAGCAGTCGGATATGTGTTTGAATGGGCCTTTGGTGTGTTATCAGAAAGTGAGAAGCATCTGAGAACCAATTTTTTTTTTTTTTTTTTTGGTAGCAGGAATTGAACCCATAGGCGCTTTGCCACTGAGTCACATTCTCAGGCCTTTTTTGTATTTTATTTAGAGGCAGGGTCTCACTGAGTTACTTAGGGGCTCTCTAAGTTGCTGAGGCTGGCTTTGAACTCACAAGCCTCCTGCCTCAGCCTCCAGAGCCACTGGAATTACAGGCATGCACCACCATGCCAGGCCTCTGAGAATCAATTTAAACAGAAATTCAAGGTGCTCAGGCAGATAGAATTTGAGGTTGCAGTTTATGGAACTAAATAAAATAAGAGGCCAACCCTTTGTGTCAAAGTTTGTGGTTTTACAACTAATAGAGCGCCAGGTTGATGGGTGATTATCATTTAATTCATGCAGAGTTTGAATGTGTATAAAGATATGTCACAACATTTTTAATCATCTACTCTTGAAACGTGAGTTCTTTATTGCAAAGGAAAATGAACTGATAAAGGGATGAGGGAGCCTAATGATTGTTGTTTCTCCAGGATGATGTTCTGACTGTGATCCGCAGAGTGGATGAAAACTGGGCTGAAGGAATGTTGGCAGACAAAATAGGAATATTTCCGATTTCCTACGTTGAGGTAAGTTAACCTGTAGACTCATGAATTGCGTTAGTGTTCAGCTTAGTAAGTAAATCTTAATTATGCAATACGAGCCTTCAGGAGTCGTCATGGCAAAAGCAGCCTCAGAAGTGCCTTCTCCTGGATCACTGGAAGAATTAGGAAAACTTCATTCTGTCCTTCAGTTACTGAAGATTGCAGAATGTTTCAAACTCTTTACTTCATCTTCCTGCTCAGAGCATTCCTGTGTCGGTTGAAGGTACTCTACACCTTCTGTCCATCACCTGTACTGTTTCCAGGTGTTCTATTCCATTTGCCAGTTCCAGGATCAGAAAGTTAATGAAGTTCCTGAGTAAGGTGGAAGATTAATGTGTTTGTTTATGTGCTTATCTCTTTCATTATCTGCCACATCATCAGAACAAAATAGTGACTCACAGCCAAGACCTTTGATAAACATTTGTTATATAAATCTTTCTCTATCATATCCCAGCAACTTCTTAGCTTCCCTCTCCCTTTTTAATTATCATGACTCCAAAAGCTTGTGGCCAGGCTTTCTTTTTAAACAACATGCATAGGGCTGGGGATGTGGCTCAAGCTATAACACACTTGCCTGGCATGCGCAGGGCGCTGGGTTCGATCCTCAGCACCACATAAAAGTAAAATAAAGATGTTGTGTCTGTCGAAAACTGAAAAATAAATATTAAAAAAAAACATGCGTAAAGTAACATAGTTCTGTTATTTTAAAGAAAAGCTGTTATGGTTTGGATATAAGGTTCCCCCAAAAGCTTCCATGTTAATAAAGGAATATTCAGAGAAGAAATTGGATTACAAGAGATGTAACCTAGTTAGTGAAACTAGAATGAACTAACTGGGTGGTAACCATAGGCAGGTGGGGCTTGGCTGGAGAAGGTGGGGTACTGGGGGCAGGCCTTGGGTATGTTCATCTTCCCTCTGCCCCTTCCTCATTCCCTGTCTGCTTCCTGGCTGCCATGAGGAGAGCAGCTTCCCTTCATCTCTCCCTTCCCCCATGATGTGGCCTTGCCTTGGGCCCAGAGCAATGGACTCAGCTCTCTGTGGACTGAGACCTCTGACACCCTGGACCAAGGTAAACACTTCCTTCCCCGATTTGTTCTTGTCACGTATTTTGGTCAGAGCCATGGAAAGCTGACTTTCACAAGCACAAGTTAAAAATGAGCTAGAAAGTTACAATTTACAGTAGGCTTCCATGACATTGTGTATCATAACCAAATGCCTTTCAATAATAAACATTTCTTGCTGAAAACAAAATCAAAGGAATTTTCCAAGAATGAAGCAACCACAGCCCCCGACAATCATACAAAGGTGCTTTGGTCAGAGACAGCTTCTGGGGAGAAGTGAGGTCCTTGTAGGGATCTGTGTGCTGGGCCGATGGAGGTTCACTGGAGAGATGGAAAGGGTGCATTTTATAGCAGAAAGAATACCCAGGAAGGAGTGATGGCATGTGCAAAAGCCGGAAAGTAAGAGAGAGCATTGCTGGGGGAATTGAAAGTGATTCTGTTGGAAAATTTCAAAGCATGTATCTTCAGTATGTAAGATACAAAAATCATTTGTTTTGTCATCTTTTTATTTGAAGCATTTATTTTGGCATGATTCTGAATATTAAAATGACAAATTATGTCATCGTAGCCAGCATTAAATTTCTTCCTTAGACAGGAGATTGCCAGAGTTAAAAAAAAAAAAAATCAGTTTCACTACTGTATATCCAAGGAAGTAATTCAAACCATGTATATGAGTCTTGAATTTTATCCATACCCTTCCTGTTTATTGAAATTGTTTCCTCCTTTGAAAGTAAACAACAGGAAAAAATTCTTAACAGTCGATCTTTTTTTGCATGTTATTTATATATTCTGACTGTGGGTCATGGAAAACTACAAGCATTTCCAAGTATTTGAATAGCTATGCTAAAGAGCATGAGTAAGCGCAAGGTTAGTAATAAAAGCCTGTCTTTACTTGTTAGGTATTATCAATATCACATGGGGATACTTGGTTTGTGAGGCATGAAAAGGTATTGCTATATTTTCGTTATAGGGCAGGTGAAGAATTGTGTAGATAGTCAGAAGACACCCCACCCATGGCAAGTCTAGAGTCAACAGGCACTTGAGTCATTAGGATTATTGACTCTGACTTAAATTGGAAAGGTGAGCTTCTGCCCAACTGAAAAGCTTTTTCAGTTTTTTGCCCTTTTTCCTTATTTGAATCACATTTTTTTTTTTCTATTTGAGATGTGGTAAACAACTCATTTATGTCTAGGAGCCGATCAACATTTCTTTGGTGTCAAGTCATCAGATTGACGCTCCTGGTGGGGAGCAAAGCATCTGGGGATTAGTGGCACCAGGGTTAGCCCTCAGGCAATTGAAGTAGGGGCAGATTTCAATCACAGCCTATTAAAATCCACCTATTTCAGTAGTGCGGAATGCCTTCCAGGGCACTATCAGATGCAGAAAAGGAAACTCTACGAATCGAAAACCAGGACTATTTCCTAAATAATGGTCTTTTTCTTACTCTATAAACCTAATCTTATTTGGCCCACTTTAGAGCCCAGATAGTCTCCAAAATAAAAGCAGGCCATGGTACAAAAATTCATTTGTGAGTGGTTTTCTTGTATCTTATGAACAGACATTTAAGGCTCCATCAGGGTGAGGTGCTTTTGCTTTTTCCACATTGCTGCCAAAAGCAGTTAACTCCCAGAGTTTTTGAGAAGATGGAAAGAGATAGTTTGTTTCAAAAAGCTTCAGCACCACTGTGCATTTTGAAGAGTAGTTTGGAGCGCAGATTACACCAGATACCAGAGCATGGCGATGATCAAATGAGAGAATCACCACCAAATGCATTCCCGAGTTTCCAGAGCCACATCTGACTTTGCACAGGTGTGTGCGCAGAAGCTGAGACTCTTCGAACTACTCCTGGTTGGCAATGGTAATAGAAATGTCCAAGGGCCTTGCTTTTGGCAGAAACGGAACAGGATGGTCCTGGGGGTAGGATTGTAGAACTGAAGTGGAATCTGTGGGTCAGAGGTTAGATGTGGAGCTGTGTGTGGAATATACGCAGATTGAAAGAAGCTGAGCATTGGAGGTGAGCAGCAGGAGGATTGAGATGGTGAGAAATGCTGCCTTCCCGTGTTCCATGGTCCTCTCTCCTCTCCCTTGACTCGGGTAGTAACTGTGAGCTCTAATCTCCACCTGCATTGTAGTGATAAGAGGATTGATAGTTTTGTGATTTGCATGTGGATCTCCTTATTAAAGTAAAACACAAACCTCTTCAAGGTCTGGAGAGAAGAGTTTGTCTTGGTTTGGATACTGAGTAAAAAATGGCTATATAAGTGGCCGTGAATTCTGTCCCTTAGAGTCCTTGTCTAGCTCCATGCGGAGGGTTCTTCTGCTTTGATCCCATTCACCCTTCGCCTCTGGAGATTCTCTGATCACATCCTTTGTGGACATGGTTTAGGTAGCGTGGATTGGGTTCTGTTGAGACTTACTTGTCCTTGACTCGAGCTAGCTGGGAAGTGGTGAGAATTTCCTTGAAAGACACCATGCCAGGATGTGTATACAAAGGGGATATTTGTCAAAGGCTTGAGTGCAGTTAAAAAAAATAATAATAAAAGAAAGAGAAATTAGTAGCCTGCTTCTTTCTTTGTTCAAAAATACCAGTTGTCTGTCCAATAGAATGGAAGATTTTAACAAGCCTGTTAATTTGGAGCCGACTCAATTCAGTTGTAGCAATTATTTGGACAAGGATGACATGATTGTTAGCATTCAAAAGGTTTGAATGAAGTGTGCTAAATATGGGATTTTGGACATTTTCCAAACATTGTTGTGTATGTATTATAGGTTTATAGTGAACTGTACATTTTTATTAAATTTCTTATTTATTTTATTTTATTTTATTTTTTTGTCATTTGTTTGAAATATCACTTGGGTTTTTCAATAATAAAAAATTACCTAGCAACTTGCTTCTTTGCCATAGATAATATGTAAGATAAGCATTCCTTATGTGCAGATAACGTGTAGGAGTGGCCTAAGAGAGAGCTGTTTTTATTTTTGAGTTACTGAGAAAAATAGGGCTACAATTCCCATTCTTTGTGTCCCACTTCACTCTTCTGACAGGCTTTCTCTAAGGTAATTCTCCTTTTCGCTGCTTTATCTCAAACATGTTCTGGTTGATAGTGGGGGAAATCTTGGACTCTGGAGTGAGATAGCTAGGATTCAAGTCTTGGTCCCCAACACAAAGTATCTGAGTGACTTTGGGCCTGGTCTTCTCATGTTTAAAATAATAAAACATCTTCATAGGGTAAATTAATTTCAGTAGTACTAATGAACAGTGCCTGGTACCCTATAAGAGCTTTTAAGTGAAGGCTAATTATCACTACCATATTATTATTCCGTCATAGCACGTTTTTCTAGCTATTTCAAATTATTTGTCCATCTGCGTACCAACTGTTCCCCATCCTTCCTTCCACCATTAGAAAGTGAGCTTCAGTGGCCAGTACCTTGCCATTGACCTCAATCTCCTGAGGCTCTCACACAGCAACTGCTAATGGTAGATACTCACTAAATATTGCTTGAATGAATGAACAATCTAAGAACTTGTAGGACCACAGTTTCTAAACCAGAGACAATCGAGTTTGTAGATTTTGCCCACTTTAAATTTTTCCAGCTCATATTCCCATCATTCCCTATCTAGATATGTGTTTTATTGGTTTTTCTCCGGGTTACGTCAGGGAGTTACATTCCTCAGAGTCATTGGTTCTGTGTGACCTTAGATATTTTTCTTTCTTTTTTTCTTTTAAACCAGTCTCAGTGAGTGTTTGGTTATGCCAAGTTTAGAATTTTCCCAGGCCAAAATAATGGTAGCCATACTCTGCGGATTAGATCTGGCAACCCATGCTGTTTGTTTTTTTGTAATATGTAAAAGACTTACAGGCAGGAGGGCAGGGTTGGGGAGATGTTGGCTAAAGGATACAGACTTTTGGATGGAAGGAATAT